ATGGAAGAATCTCAGTGGTGATTACCAACACCACTACTTTGCCGACCAGGTTATCTTTTCCTGGAGAGTACAATGCTGAAGCCTCCTCATCTGGAGGGAGGCCTACGAGAAGATAAAGAAGAAAGATGAATGCTGAACTCTGAGCTCAGCAACAACAACTCCCAGTTCACCCTTCCAATCTGCCAGCCCAGGTGCCTGAAGCCAATGTTCCTACTTAGAAAAAGTTTTCTGATTTAAAATGGGTGAAGAGGAATAGCTCCACTGGTGAGCTAAAGAAGTCCTTCTAGGAGCAACGACGTGAAGTTCCAGCCCCTCATAGGAGGAATGAACCTGAGACCTTATCAGCTCGGGTCTATTGGGTCCTGAAGACCGTGAAAGAGAAATGTCTTAAGAAGAAGAAGTTCCAACGTCCTTTAGTGATCGAGGCCAGGAGAACCCCGCCAAGAGAATGTCTATCTGTTGTGGTGGAAAGAAGAGAAATAAGGTATACCCCACACGATGAACATCAGGGTGTGATACCTGAACCATATGTTCAGGGATCCACCGCTAAAAGGTCCAAGTGGAAAGGAAAATAAGTCTGGAGGCCAAAGCCTCAAAGAAATGAGAAAGAAAGAAGAGAAAGAAAGATTGATTTGGGCATGACATCTAGTGAGGCTTCCCGGAGATCCACCCCCATTAATAAACAATGTCAAAACTGGGCCCCTAAAAGGACCCATAATGACACTCCTCCAGATAATAGACACCTTGGAGAATCCTCCAGAGGATCCCATCGCCCTCCATCTCCTCCGACAGAAGAGACTAACTTTGATCGCAGCCCACTGATCGAAGAAGTCCCCGTGCCTAATCAAGAACTGAAAATTCAATGGCGTCGCCGCTCGGAGATTCGAGTACTAGAAGAAAATGTATATGATCAAAATATAGAAGAGGAAGAATACCTTGAAGAGGAAGAAAATATTAATGAATTTTTGGAGGAAAATTTAGAAGAAGAATTGAAAGAAATAAATAACACATTGGACATGGAGGTAGTCTATATGATGAGACACACCAATGCTAATAATAAAGTCTACTATGATGATGATGATGAAGATGATGACGATCAACAACCGCCAATTAGGCGAGTTTATCAACGTCATCGTGAAGTTGGGTCCACCACTAGCAGAGGTGGTCATTCCCAAGCAGAAGAAGAAAGAGAAGAAGCCAAGGAGAATCCCTTTGCTGATGAGAATGTCACACTCGCTAACATGAGAAGGCAGATGAGGCGACAAATGAGAGCCAAAGATAGAGAAATCTCTCAGTTGAATGAGATGATGACTGAGATGATGGCTCAGATGGGGGCAATGATGCAGATAATGCAAAAAACTGTCGTTGTTGGTGCCATGCCCAATCCTCCTGTAGATCCTCCAAACTTCCAAATGCCTCAGGTCTCGGGAGTACGAGGTACTCCTGAAGGTGGTCACAAGGCTCATAATGTCATCCGTCAGCCCACCCCACAAAATGTTGCAAGTACTTCTGAACCTATGACCGCTGCACAGTTGGAAGGAATAATCACATAAAGGATTAAGGCTATCATAGTTGTTGATCAGGCAGAGAAACTAGTGGGCAAAGGTCGTCCGTATCCTGTTGAATATGACCAAGTGTCGTACCCAAAAGGATATTATATACCAAAGTTTAATACTTTCAACGGTACTAATAATCCCCGACGGCACCTGGCACAGTTTAAAGCCACCTGTGGGAATATAAGAGGAAATGATGCCCTACTCTTCTGACAATTCGTTAGTAGTTTGATAGAAATTACTTTCGAATGGTACGCTGAACTGCCAAATGATTCTATGAAGACCTTTGCAAAGTTAGAATCTATGTTCGTGAAGAGATTTGCCAGTGCAACTGAGAAGATCACGATTGCTGACCTCGCTCTGGAGAAGAGAAAAAAAGAATAGTCGGTGACGAAATATATCACTCATTGGAAAAACCTAAGTATGAAATGTGAGTAGCAGCTTAAAGAAAAGCATGCCGTACAGTTATTAATAGACAATATTGATGATAAGATGCAACCCTTCCTGTGCATGACTACAATCAACACATTTCAAGACTTGCTCGATAGAGTGGCCAAGTTTGAGAAATTAAATTTCTCCATATCAAAAAATCACTTTGATAAGCCAAAGAAGGCTAAGGCCCCAGGTGCTAGAAGTGGTGAATCCGACTCTACGTTCTTCTCTAGAGTTGATAGAGAAAAGCAAGTGATTTACAACGTAGACAAAGACAAACAGCCGATGCAATATCAAGAAAAGCCTAAGCATACCTACAACACCAACCCCCAACCGAAGTTGATACTAGGGGGAAATGATAAGCCACAAACTTATCAAGGTGGTGGAGAACGACCGAGACAGGAAATAGGAACTGGTGATAGAATGTTCCAATCCCTCAAAGATAAAATGAATAAAGAATATTCATTCAAGAGGGAGAGTGTCGCCAAATTAATTTGACAAGTGTTGAAATCGGGTTTAGAACTGCCTGAATGTAAGAGACCCGAAGAGTCGAAGCACACTGGGGACCCAAATTATTTCCCATATCATCGGGTACTTAGCCATCCTATTGAAGATTGCTACATCTTCAAGGATTGGCTTTAAAGAAAATATCAAAAAGGGAAACTCAAATTGTCAGACAATATGTTTTCTCACCATAAAAAGGAATCCACTTGGGTAGTCACATCCTCTTCCATACCCCTGGTTGAAGAAAGAAGAAAAGAAAAGAAGCCAATTCAAGAAGAACAATGGGAGACTGTGGTCTCCATGAAGACTATGAAAATATTGAAGCAGCTTGAAGGAGTCCCAGGTGTAAAGTGGAAGTCTCCTATTGAGCCAATGATAGATTTGAAGGTGGTACCATTGGCACGACCTTCTACTTCTAAACAATTTTCCAATCAAGCTGGTTCTTCATAGACTGGAAAGATGAAATTATCCAAGAAGAAGACCAAGCTGAAGAAGCCCAAGGAGAAAAAAACTGCAACTCAAAGGGTTATCGATAGTTTGGATGAGTATTATCAAACTGTGAGGAGACCTATCAAGCTCGTTGACTTCATGTCAGAGCTTAAAATAGATGAAGCCGAAGAAGAAGATGAAGATTCTCTTCCCAAAAAAGTATGTCGGGTCATCTCGGTGGCGCCGAGTACATTGACAAAAGGAGAATACACTGAAGAAATGCCCTTTGAATCTTGTATGATGATGTTGCCAATGAATTACAGTTCGGAGGAGGATTTTTATTTTCGAAAGGGAGATGAATCAGACCCTAGCATATCGTCTCGGATGGGACATGTAAACCTGGGTGGTGACTCTGAATCAACAGATGAGTCCCTAGATACAATAATGACTGACTCTGAAGAAAATGTTCCATCAAATGACTCTGAACCAGAGGAGATTGCTCAAGTGCAGTTAAGAAGCGGCAAGATACTACCGCCTCCACCGAAGAAATGGGTCTCCAACAAAGACAAGTATAAAGAAATAGTTATCAACAATGATATTATCTCTGAAGATCCTTAGAAAAAGAAGACTTCAACCAGTGGGATAGATTATAATATATTATCTCATCTGAGGAAGATACCAGCACAACTTAGTACGATGCCTTGATAATGTCTAAAGACCTTCGGGAGACTTTAATTCAGGCTCTCAAAGATCCTAAAAAATACGAGGCGTATTTTGCTGAACGCAATTTAACTGAAGTTCTAATGGTTTGTAATGATCCATTCGTTACCTTCTCTGAAGAAGATATGATGCTTGGGACTGCATATCACAATCGTCATCTGTATGTTACTGCAGAGAGCGATAGGCTGATCATCAGTCGAATCCTGATCGATCCTGGATCCTCCGTAAATCTGATAAGCTTGAAAGCACTAAGATCCCTCTACCTTGATGTCGAACACCTAGGACCTGGTAAGATGATGGTGCATGGCTTCAACGAAAAAAGGTCAGAAAACCCTTAGATCATTCATGCTCCCTCTTGTATTTGGAGAGCTCCACACAGAAGCTAAATTCCACGTAATTGATGCTGATACTTCATTTAAGGCGCTATTGGGTCATCCCTGGTTGCATGAATATGGTGTTGTCCCGTCAACACTACACCAGTGTATGAAATATCTCAGAGATGGAGAAGAGTTCATGATCTCAAGTGATATTCAGACCTTTACAGTTCATGAAGCAACAGTTTATGAAGATGCATGGTATTTCATGCCAAAGAAGCAAAAGTCTTCGAGCTCCCTCGAAGCTAAAGCATCAAATTCAAAGACTACAAAGAAACCTGAACGAGAAGGTCAGAAGAAGCAGGTGGGGAGAAAGAAGGCAAGGCCGACTCTTCCCAAAGCATCAATCATTCCAAAAGAAAAAAAGCATATAATTCATCTTGGGAATGACACAGATGAAGATGATGTTACTCCCGCTAAATCTCGGAATGTATTCCAGTCCATAGACGAATGGAGTAGGTAGATCAAATTTTCAAATGATGATTATGATTACGACTCTATTTATATGAACATGGTGCAGAATGTGTTCTCTAGAAGAATAGACAGCCTATCAATTTCAGATAGTGTGCTCATAGTCATGCGTGTTCCCTTACGAAATTTTGAGGAAATCATTTCGTGCGAGGTTCATAAAGTTGAAGAACTCGCCACCCTCTATCTGCCTCCCCGTAAAAATGGGACTGTGCCCAAGAATGTGCTATATTCCACGGGAGTTTGTGAAGAGGAGAATCATGACTGGGATTGCATGCTCATCGACTCCAAGGAATTATTTTCTACGAGGCTACCTAGGTTCAATACCAAAAATATTCAAAAAGTGCTACAAAAACAGGTCAACAATCCTACCACCAAGAGACAACTTCGTACAAGTTTGTGCCTCTAGTATGGAAGGAATCCACGTCCACTACGATGGAAAGATATAGATGTAAATAAAGGTATTGGATTCATCAAGCAAAAATTCCTCCGAAAAGAGACTTGTCGGGTGATCACATGCATGGAAGTTGAATCCGATGATGATGGTACTGAAGAGATATATGAAGCTGATGTTTATGATGAGCAGCCCGTAGAAGCCGAACCTGCACTAGAAGAGCTTAAAGATGGTGGACAGGCAGCCACTATGGATGAACTAAAAGAAGTTAACTTGGGAACTAAGGAGGATCCTCGCCCAACCTTCATTAGTTCTCTCCTACCCAAAAAATAAATAGAATAAATAAAAGAACTTCTCTGTGAATTCAGAGATTACTTTGCCTGAATATATGCTGAGATGCCCGGCTTATCCCCTTATATAGCAGTTTAAAGATTAGCAATCAAATCGGATGTAGCACCTGTCAAACAAACTCCAAGGAGAATGAGACTAGAGATTGAATAACAAGTGATTGCAGAGATGAAGAAGCTTATTGATGCAGGCTTTATTCATGAAGAAAAGTATGCTGACTGGATTGCTAACATTGTCTCTGTAAAGAAGAAGAATGGACAAATTCGTGTCTGCATTGACTTTAGGGACTTCAACAAGGTGTGCCCAAAAAATGACTTTCCACTCATTGTATCAGAACTACTAGTAGATAATACTTCCAACTATGACATGTTCTCATTCATGGATGGCTCATCAAGCTACAATCAGATCAAGATAGCTCCTGATGATGAATAACATACGTCGTTCAGAACGCCCATCAAAATTTTCTACTACACAGTCATGCCCTTTGGCCTGAAGAACGCTGGTGCCACCTATCAGCAGGCGATGACTCACATATTTGATGATTTGATACATCAGAAGGTTGAGTGTTATGTAGATGACCTTGTTGTTAAAATCCTTGGCCGAAAAGATCATTTGAAAGATCTCAGAATTGTATTCGAGAGGATCAGAAGATATGATCTAAAGATGAACCCTCTCAAATGTGCATTTGGGGTATCCTCAGGCAAATTCCTGGGTTATATTTATTGCAAACCTATTTTTTATGTATTATGTTTTGATGATTGACAAACACTATTTCTCTTGGACCACTTGTTGCTTCTAACTTTTCAGGAATCGAAGATCGGACGATCAAGAAGGAGCCAAGTTTAGGATTGCGTAGGTTTAGGGTTGAGTCAGTCTGTACGTTTGATTTTCACCTTTTGAGTCTACTTGTAATCTACTGTCTGGAGATCGTTT